CTAAACCTCTGCGGGCACAGATGGGAGCTCTCCTCCTTTTGCCCAGCATCAGGCCTCAGCCGCAACAGTTTGGTCACAATTCTGAGTATATTCGAAGGCAATCCATTTTCTGGCATTTAACCCTTAAATGCTACTGGTATTTTATTACAGTTTCTAAAGTGAAACACATTACGTATTACAAAGGTGGCTACAAAAAAACATCTACAATTAGTTCACAACATTTATCGAATCAGCACTTCTGACTTTTTCCATGTGGTCCAATGTCACAAAAACATGGCAAAAATGAAAATAACTCTGCACAGACAACAATAACTTCAATTATGTCAAATTCAAAGCATAATAAAATATCTCCTCTGCTACAAACATTAAATGTGGTATCAAATCAAAGCTTAGAATCCACAGTTTCAACAGAACTTCTGTACTTGAGGTTCAAGTGAGAAATCATTAATATCAAAATACACTATGCTTTTCTTATCACAGGCTATAACGTCTTAATTTTGAATCTAGTGAAAGCCACTTGATTACCAGCACGGTTTATTTCTAGCATTAGCACCAAGGTTAAAGTTAAAGTGAAACTCAATGTTCACAATTTCAAAATAATTATATTGATAAGATGTAAACAAAGTCATTCAGAGTGGTTTGATGTGAAATGCTCTGTCTAGAGAAACTAACCAAGTTAGAATGGTTCATAACAGTGTTGATGGGAACCAGACGTCCAAAGTGTTTACTGCTACTACTAGACAGTACACACAGTTTGTACACAAAGTAATGTATATGTGGGACCTGACACCTGAGACATTATTTAGAATAGTATTGATATATGATTTAGCCAAAAATGTATTTTTTCCATTAACATCAAATATTTTATAGTTCATTATTAATCGGTGATTAATTGTCAACCAACAAAATTATAATCATGGACACGACCCATGAAAACATCAAACACAGTACTGTGTTTCATATAAATAAGGCTTTAGGCTTTATTGAATGAAAATATTCAGCCTAACATAACAGATACTACAGTAACGCTAGGCGGCTTCGGCGTTATCAGCTCAAAAATGTGTAGCTGTCAAAGGTGAAATCTCTAGAAAAGTTCTGTGTCACTAATTAGGGCTACTGGAACAACTTGTGTTCTTGCACGCTCATGCATACAATTCAGTTTCCAAGTTGACTGAAAAACCCACCTATTCAAATATCCATTCTTTATGAGAAATTAACTTTTTTAGCCAAAAGCATTGGCTTAACATTCGTGTATTTGTCAGTCAGTTAATCAGTTTATCACTATCATCCCTACGATGATAGTACGAACTCAACCGAACCCGACAAGAACTCTGGGTCCTGTTCGGTTCGGATAAATATATCTAGCTCAAAATATTTTGTGTCAAGTATCCCTGAAACACGAGAAGCCATTATCACAGTGATGAACAGGCTAATACAAGCAGGCTTAATAACCGAACTAGGCATAGCTGCATAATAAAGGACACTGTACTTGTATCTAAAGCTTCAAATAATGCTAGCTTAAATAGCTTTAGCTTAGCTCAGAGGATCATGACCTAGCTGCTATGTGAGTCTTCCTAATTTATCACAAATCCCCTCCTCTATGTGCACCCTGAGCACAATGCTCACAAGGGAACCTTTTTAGAGAGGCCCAGTTTAATACATAAACTCCATTATGAAGGCACGGTGCATCGCTTTCTGCTAATGGCCTCATGAGAAAAGGACTGAAGAGCGCTGAGTGGTGTAGAGTTATCCCCGCCGTCTTTGTGTGGCTAGCGCCAGCGCGGCGCGCTAATGAATTCACACCCCCTTTAGTTTAGGCACTTAGAAAACGTACTTTCTGCAAGCATCATAATGGATGCATTATTGAAAGTGTGAATGCATTAATACGTGGGCCGGCTCCAAAAGGCTTTGTTTAAATATAACGGGGGGTTGAAGGGGGGTTATCATTGATAATAGTGGCCCGTTAGTAGAGTCTTAATGGAATATGTGCGTCCGTGTTGCAGGGCCCGTCCCTGGGCGACTCACTTGACGCAAATCACCGCGTTAAAGCCTGGATTAAAACCACATTAGTGCATTTTCATCAAACCAGATCTCATCATGCCACAGATTGAGGCAAACATGCTGTAGTCTCCATCGCTCTGCAGCGATTATGCTTTTGGTTGCCAGTCTAGGTAATGTGTCTACATAGTTCAGGGTCATTGATGTTTTTAGTGGAACTATAAAAGTGTCTTGAAATTCAGTGTGAGTAAAATGCAAAGGCTTTTTTTCCTGAATCTGCTGAGATAATCACAGTTCAGTTAGCTGCACCTGTAGCACCAAATGAATTGGAAGCAATTATGGGCCACCATTTGCATTTCAGCCAAATGGTTGGCAATGTGTTATTGTGAAATGTACCTGATAAAATCACATACTAAAAAAAAAAAGAAAAAAAAAAAAAAAAGAAAAAAGACAAACAAACCCAGAAAGGTTAGTCAGACTCTCCTCACATTGCAAAAAATGACATCTTGCCAAGTGAAAACATAGTATTAAAGCTGGAGTAGGTTTTAGATTTTAGAAACTTTTTTTGTTATATTTCTTGAAATACTGATGATAGCAATCAATTAATCAAATACTGTGACTATAAAAAAGAAACAAAAAAAAACATCTGTGGAGGCCACAGGACTGTAAAAACCCCGTTCAATCATTTCATTCTGACCAAATTAAATGACTGGACGGTCTACCTGTCTGTCTACCTACATACCTTGTAACCTGCCCACATGTGCCTGTGTTGCACGTATACTCAATGCCAAGGTTGCTATTTTTCTGTTGGACTGGTAATTACCTGGTTTGTTTTGTTTATGGGGAAATTTGTAATTTTCCTGAACTATGTAACCAACGTACCTAGCTAAATACATGGCTACATTATGTTTTGGTTGAATGCTTATATTAGCTATGCTGTAGATATAAGCTAGCTGGCTATGTTTATCTTGTATGTAATCTGTGTGTGCATGTGTCTGTAAGCTATGCACATTCATTGGCTTTGAGGGAGTGTCTTTGGAAGGAGGGCTGAAATTAGGAGGGGGGGCACTTTTTAGGTTGAATTTTTCCAAGAACTTGCTTACACTTCCTGGTTTCTACAAAATCACCTACTCCAACTTTAATGTTTCTCATAATGAGATGGGTGTAAGCATAGGTACGAGCTACGGGGAACATTAGGTCATTGGCCCCACAAAAACTGAATTTCATCCTAGACCAAAAGCTTGAGAAAAACCACGGTAATGAAACTGCATAGAGCAGTATGAAACCAGCTGCGACAGTGAAACTGCATTCAATAACAGCAGGGATTTAAGCATGCAGGGATGCTTATGTTAACCAAAAAAAATGTTTTGTTTTCCATACGCACATATCTGGTTCTTTTCCCTGTACACTTGTACCCTGGTGATACAGCTTGTGGTTTGACTTGTGACTGATTTCTTTTTATAAAATTTTAATTTAGAATTTTATTTTCACTTGATAATTACACTCAGTTTGAACACTTTTTCAAGGGCACATATTTAATTTAATCAGTGATGCTCTTGTTCTTATTTAAGATGACAGTAGTGCAAAGCAGTCAGCTAGTCTACTTGTTTTTTGGACTTATTGTTAGTAAGTTACGAAATAATACTGTATTTCTACACTTAGAATTACTAAGTTCATTGCTTGGAGCTTTTTTGCTGAGTTTCTTTTGTAGCCAGGATGGTGAAAATGTCAATATATTAAAATACAGTATAATTTTACAATCAATATACAGTATTGTGCAAAAGTCAGAGACCACCCTTCATTTAATTTCCCATCAAAAGGACCATTAAACACAAGTTATCCAGTTTTCAGGATGTATTTCTGAAGAGGTTAGATATAAGACAATCCACGTGCATAAGAAGGGCAAAAAACAGGGGTTTTAAAAACTGGAGTACAAAAAACAGTACTTTTCATCTTTGAGAGAGGAGAAATCAAGCTCCACTCTGGCTTCTGATCTGAAAAATTTACAGGTGTTTCTGTTCATCCTTCCACCATGAGAAGGCAACTCAACACTATGAGTCTGAAAGGATGTATAGCTGTCAAGAAGCCCTTATTGAGAAAAGAAAAAGACGAAAACAGAGAATATTTGCAAATTAAACAAATAAGTGAACTGACCACGACAGATATCAGACTTCAACATCATAGAATGTGTTTGGAATTATTGGATCATGAGAAGTGGAAAACGCAACCAACTTCTAAGACTGAACTTTGGAGGTGTGGAAAAATATTCCTGCAGATTTCTTTGAAAAACTGAAAGCAGGTATCTGATAAGAATGGAAGCTGTGATAAAGGTGATTATTGGATACACTGTATACTGAAAAAGTGGCTGTGTAATGTTCTGTTAAATACATGTTTACTGCTTTGTTTCTGACGGTGAAAAAATAACTTGTACTTAATGGCCACTTTGACTGGGAATTAAATATATGAAGTGTCTCTTTTATTGCACACTACTGTATGTCCAAGCCCACCAAAAATAAATGTAAGTTAAAAATCCCCCCATTAGTGTTTAACCTAAGTCAGCACCCATGGTTGTTAGAATATTTTTAGATTTTTCAACATAACTGTGGATATTTTTGCTTGTCTAGGCATTGACATTCCATTTTAACCTTTTTTTCTGCATGTATTAGTAGTAGTAACTTGTGACTTGACTTCACAAACCACAAAGAAGTATGTTGAATAATCTTGTAATATTCTTACAACAATCTAATAATGAAATATATTTCACAAGTTCAGGATGCTTTCACCTGGCAACATATCATTGCTGTGCAGTTCCCATTTGTATCAAACGTCTTGGACTTCTGATCAAGGACCAGCTCCTTCACGACTATAGGAGTGCATTCAGTGGAAGATGAAAGGCAAAAACTTATTACAGATCAGCACTCTAACTTCAAGATGCTTCATATACAGCCCCGGGTTCCTGCAGTTGTCAGTGTAATGAGATGTGGAGGACTGTAGGTACTCACATTCCACGTTAAGCTGCACCTGCGCTAGCCTGCGTTTGATGTTGAGGCCGTTGTATGGTGCTGTCTGGCAGCGGTACGCCCCCATCATGTCTCGCGTCACGTTGGTCAGCCTCAGCCGCCCGTCCCGCGTCTCAACCACCCAGTCGCCCGATGGCATGGGCAGGTCCTTGTTGGCGCGGGACCACAGCACAGGGGGGCGGGGCTTACCGTCCACCAGGCAAACGAGCTCTGCAGTCCCGCCCTCGCTCACGTTGACCACACTCCCTCCCACTGGCACGCTCAGGACAGGAGGAATGACTGGAAAGGAGAAATAAAAGAAATTAACATCCAGGGTGGTGAAGAAAATCTTGAGGCAAATAAGCTGACAAGAAATGACCATAAATAGATCATTACAGTGTACTAATTATTTCTTGTTGATTTCACAAAAACTTGATGAACTGAAAAAAGAGAGACATAGAGATGGTAGAGAAACAGAGATGGTAAGAAGGAGGCTAGTGTCAATACACAAATGAACAGAAAGTTTAGACTAAAAAAGACTAACTAAAAATAAGAAACAAAGAGGCAGATTTGAGTCTTCCTTTGCAAATCTCTCACTGAAATTGGTGGGCCTACATGCAAATTCTGACCAATCAAAGTCTTTCTGTGGCACTTAGGGAATGCCATATTAGTACAGGATAACCCTTAGAAGTCACAGTTATTGCCAATAATAACAAAAACATGGTGTAATGTTAATTATTTCAGAATGCACTGAAACTAATGCAGATTCTAAACTTTCATTCAATACCTCATTTGTTTTGTAAGTAGAAAAGGAGATATTTTATTATAAATTATAAATAAATTGAGTTTGGTGGAAAGTTATTGTATACAATCAAGTTTTGGTGTGATTCCTCATCATTGCCAACACTAAAAGTTCTAAAAGAGGGTTGATATGGAATGAAGACAAACCAAGGCCTGGTTTACGTATATTATGAGTGCCTCATATATCTGGGTGTTGTCACATTTACACATTTTACCCATTAAAATCCTGGGCTAAGGCTAAAATTAAACCTATGGCTTATTATTCAGTAACTAAATAGACTACAGTACAAAGTTATTGTTACTTTGTAGAAGCTGGTGAGTCCTGCCCATTTAAGGGTTTGAAAAAAATACATAACTGTGTTTGTGATTAGTAATCAGATCTAGCTGTCCTGAGTGTGAGGTGGTCAAGTGCTAACTGTGATCGGATCTGAATGTGTAATGTAAACGCAATGCAACCGGATTTGCTATTAGGGAGGCACAATCATAATCGGCCAAGACTGTATTCCGCTGATTTTTGCTATAAAGCAATTGACAACTGGCCAATTCATTATTTTTATTTTGGCCTATCTGTATTGCAGTTTTATGATGTAACTAGCATGAGTCAGGTAAGTGCACACATGCTGTATTTCAGTGCTGCACCTATATCAGAATGTTGTAGCATAATTATGCATAACTCACTGTGCTAAATAGCCAGTGGCCTTTTACTTTCAATGCAGTATTTTATTTGATTCACATTATTTAATATCTTTACAAATATAAAATGTTTGACATAATATTATTTATCTTGCAACTCTAGCTAATAGAAAATACTCGAAAAATGCTAGCATGCTTCATGTGTTCACTTAGACCACAGATGGTCAGCTTCAGACTTTAAAAAATAGTGTAGTAAAAAAAGTTTGGCTGTGAAGAAATTAGAATATGAATCAGCCATAAAAAATCACGGTTGTTGAATAGCATAGGCTATGTTCAAGGTCTGGCATCACATGAGCTCCATCTTCCTCTGGATCCCTCTCTTTGAGCGTGTTTACATGCACTCAATAATCTGATCATAATCGGATTTCTGCAGTTATCTGATTATTCAAATGGTCATGTAAACAGCACACTCTGATTTCTTAGATTGGAGTAAGGTCTAGAAATCCAATTAAGAAATCAGATAAAGAGAGCTGGATTTTAGCTCAGTAATCAGATTTCTCAGTGAATGTAAACTCTTACTCTGATTTCTTTCGGATTTCTCAGTCTGCGCATGTGTGAAAATAGACAGCATTACTAGGAATAAGCGAGCAGCATTGCTGCGAGATGAGAGCAAAACAGTTTTGGAGTGACGGTGAAACCGACTACATGCTTGACAAAATCCATCCATCATCTAAACCGCTTCTTCTGGGTCGCGGTGGGGTGCTGGAGCCTATCCCAGCTGTCATTGGGCGGAAGGCAGGATACACCCTGGACAGGTCGCCAGTCCATCGCAGGGCAGACAGACAGACATACACAGTCACACACACACTCACACCTAGGGGCAATTCAGCATGTCCAATCAGCCTGACTGCATGTCTTTGGTCTGTGGGAGGAAACCCACACAGACACGGGGAGAACAGGCAAACTCCACACAGAAAGGACCCCGGTCACCCGGCCGGGAATCGAACCCAGGCCCTTCTTGCTGAGAGGCGACAGCGCTACCCACTGCACCACGTTCATAGTCTCAGGTAAAGTGGCATGATGTTTTTTTAAAAAGAAAAGCCGCGGCATGTTTGAGTTTTACATTATGTTTACCTCACATCTTTATCTGTGAGTTTATTGGCCAATCCGGTTACTGTCTGAATCATGTAGACCCAGAGTTTCCCATTATCTGATTGCTCAAGTGCATGTAAACATGTTGATCGAATTACTGGCAAAATCTGATTTTCTGCAGTTATCAGATTATTAAGTGCATGTAAACACACTCAATGAACATGTTATTTTTATGTATCTGCATGTGTATTCATAGGTAGATCAAGGTGATCAGCCCTGAACCTAAACCCATGTTTTTGGAGGAATTTACGGAGCTAATAACCAAGGAAAGCTAACCTAGCAAGCATGAGTGAGCTAGCAAGAATGTCTGTCTGTTCAGTCAACTGGCCATTTGTTTGGTCAACCAGCAACCAACTGTGCCCAACCAGCAGCAAAGTGAAAAGACATCACACATAAAAGCTGGACAATGTTTTTAGTGAGCTGTGGAGTGTGGATAGTCTACAACATAACCTCCATATATAGAGCCTGTTTGACTCATTTCTCTCCACTTGAGCTCTTGTGTTTAGTTTTGCTTTAGAAACACAGCAAATTGGGAGTATTGGGATTTGGGGATGCGCTCTTTAGAATTTTAGGACCACACCCAGGCACTACTCAGAAAGGTCTGAGGAGCAATTTTTAAACTTTTTTTTTTAAATTCAATCTATGCTAGATGTTTCATATTATACAGAATTTTAGTATCATACATAATTTTAAATATTTTAGACTGTGCTCGCTGGGACTTTAAAGCCAAGCATAAACACTATAAAATGTTATATAAGTTTAGCCTTAGTTCTGGAGCAGAGCTCTGGACTTGTTTTACTTGCTGGTTTCTGGTTATCTTCAGTTAATCAGATGTAGAAGATGTTTAATTAGTGAAATGACATCCATTCATTTTTCATAGTGCTTTTGTGGAGGACATGTTTTGCCTTAAGCCAAGTACATTAACATTAGTTATGGGTATATAAACAGAATTTAAGCACCGTCAGTCAGGGTCTGTCCCAACGAGAGTAAGAGTGAGGAACATGGAGGGTAGATACATGGAGAAAGAATCATTTTACAAACAGAGTTTGTGCCCTTATTGAACACCTAAATATTTAATGGAGGCTATCTATGATGTATGGGAATGATGTATGTGATGCATGTGAATGGCAACCGAGAATTCTTATTAGCCGCAGGGTTAAATGATAAACCCTGATTCTATAGATATCCGCCACAGTCTAGAAAAAAACTCAGGTCTGTGGGAAATCCAGGGGGGAACAAACAGAGAGAAATAGAGAGAGAAAATAAACGTGAGAATGGAAGACGGTGCAGGAGATTGATCATGGTGGTGATGCGCAGCCAGAAAACCAGAAAAAACACTCCTGGAAGGTCAAAACTTTTGAGAGGCAGGAGAAAAGGGGAAAAGTAATGCCATGAAAGACACTTCCTGAGAAAGGAGAGCAGAGTTTACTAAGGGTACATGGGGGAATTCCCAGTATTCCAGCAATCTCCCAGTAGAAAACCCACAACCATACCAGGGCTTTTTTCAAGAGTTCTGAAGGAACATCTAAAGCCAGATTTACACCACACGATTTTAGCTGTGACTCTGATGTCACAGACAACTTTTCACCATCACAAGTGATTTTGCAATTCACAAGACCCCCAGTCCAATCCTAAACGCTTCCAAGTGGCTCTGATAATTTGAAACAGGTTTGATATTACCAGGAGACTTTTGGCAGTGCTCATGTAGTTTGAGATAGTTGGCAATTGCCAAATGGCTATAGCAATGAGAGATGCCAACTCCCCTTGGTTTGCTGGAGACAAACTGATTGTGTGATAAGATTTATCTGTTCTACTTTCTTTCTACAAGATAGTCAACCACAACAGGGGTCAAAAAGGGCTGGTCACAAATGACCACTGGCCTTGAAAAGATTAACAATAATAGTCTACACTCCTAAGCATTATTGACTTGGATGTATGGATCTAGGGAGAAAAACACTTTAATTGGTATAGAACCTTTCTTAAAGATTCTTTAAACTTTTATAATTACTAGTACAGTACTGTGCAAAAGTCAGAGACCACCCTTCATTTCTTCAATTTCCAGTCAGAGCTGTCAATTTTTTGTGTCAGGAAAAAAACAGAAAACATATATTTAACAGAAAATTACACAGATGCTTCAACAACTAAATATAATATCAAACTTTTCAGTATTTACTATGTCCACTCTTTGCCCTTATTACAGCTTCCATTCTTTTCAAATAAATCTGCAGGGATATTTTTTCACACCTCCAAAGTTCAGTCTTAGAAGTTGGTGACATTTCCTGCTTCTCATGATCCAAGTAATCTCAGACACATGGCCACTGGGTGGTCAGCCCATCGTTCTCAAAACACCAAACAAAGCTTGTACGTAATTGCTGTTGCTGTTCTGAGCAGAAATTAAATAAATGAAGGGTGGTCTTCTTTTGCACAGTACTGTACATCTCATTTAGGCATGGGAAATATGATGATATGTATAAACTACATCACAGCAAATCATGGATATTAATACTGATATTTCATTTCAAAAAGTAGAGATAGTCCTGTTTAACTGGATTTAGTGTATTGTAATGAAATGTTCAATAAAAATCACTGAATTCATAGCTTTTCATCACTTTTAATCTCATTTACAAAATTACCTCTTTAAGGAACTAATCATTGAAAGGTTGTTCATGGAACCAAAGGTGTTTTTCCATGGCACTGCTCCAAAGAACCCTTTGGCACCTTTATATTTAACATTCTACCACAATATAGGTCAGAGCACACTGGTTAAAAATGAGCACTGACCTTCTGAGTCGATTTTATAAGGCTTTTTATGCCGGACCATCCACAATTTATAAGTCCTGACAGCTTTGTAGCTTTGCATTAAATTCTGAGTTGTATAAGCTAGGCTTTTGCTCCATGTGTGATTTTAAGCTACCGGGTTTAAGCCTCTGAGAGCTACTGTGCTACTGCAAAGTGGGGGTTCTTTCACAAGACCAGAATTTGGTGGCGTGTCAACTCATATAATGTATGAGGAGTTTAACCTCTAAAGGGGGGTTAAAACTGAAATACTATGTGAGCTTAGCCTTCAAAATGTGCTACAGAAATTTGTCATGCCAAAAGAAGCCTTCAGGGGTCCGGACTCTTGTTATATTCATTGATCTTATGCCTATCAGAAGGAGGAGAAGTAATGATAGAAACTGGAGATGGCATCTACTCACTTTTCATAGCTTTTTGTGAAGGACATCTTTCACCCTAAGCCAAGTGCACTTCATTAGTAGTGCACTGGAGACACACAAGAGAATTCCTTCTGACCATCAAAGTACAACTTGAAATCATCACTAACTGAAGCAGGCTTACGTGTCTGAATCAAATGAATAGGACAGTGTTACTGGGTAAAGAGACCGCAGCAGCTTCCATTAATGGAAAATCCCATAAAGCGGGAGGAAGTGAATAAATGGTAAAGAAATGGAGGGAGAGATGAAGAAGAGGTAAGGAATTTGTACAAGCCAGCCTGTTTGAATAGAAATGAAAAGTTAAAGCTAGAGATGTGTTGTCATTGTATCTTTTCTTATGAGTTCACGTTTGAAACCCAACAGCTTGTTAGAATTCTTTCCATTCCTTTGAAAAAAACGGATAAAAAATATGGATGGTTGTTCATATAAAAAGATATCAAATCTCATTTTGGTACTGGTTAACTTAATCGGCTACTCAAATAGATAGACAGCGTGTAATAAATAAATGAAATAAAGTGTGTAATATCTTGTAAGCTTTTATTAAGAGTGAGATGTGAAACTGCAGAATGTCAGGCCAGTGTCAGCTGATCTTATGTATCACATTGTGTACACAGTGAAAAGTTCATACCTTCTCACAGAACATGTTTTCTTTCACTCATTTTTTCATTACTGTTTCAAAGATTTTACAATAATAGTTGAGCCCCTAACAATATCGGCCTTCAACCAAACAGGACTATTAGACTCTGCCCTCCCTCGTCACAGCACAACTGAACTAGCTGAATGCATTAATAAGGGCAAACAGTCCACTAATTAACTGTTTTAATGAGCAGCACATAGTAATTAGGATGATTTACTGATTGTGGTTCCAACTCTACATTTTTCAACACAACATTTCCAAAAAATCCCAAATGAAAACAATTTGTTTCCAAATGTCACGCATTTGGCTAGTCAGCCAACGGACTACATTTCCCAGAATACACTGGGGAATCAAGATACGGAGCTATTTCCCTCGTTGCCAGTAATGACTCGGACTCCACTTCCCAGAATCCTCAGCCAGCTCACGTGGCTCCACAAAGATCCTCATCACCGCTTGAGATAACCTGAATACTAATGCTGTTCAACAGTGTGTTTGTGTCATATGACTAGATAGCTAGTATATTAGCCCGGGCTATAGCTAGGTTTATTGCGAGGTATTGCTTTCCATTGTGAAACTACTGAGCGTTCTACCTGTTGATATATCGTGTGTATGACCTTCTGTTTACCGTTTTTCTCTGACTCTGTTTTTAGATTTGCCCTTGTGTACTTTTGCCTGGTTTATTGGATATATGGTTTTGACTCATTGCCTGTTTTCTGGACTTCGCTCTGTTTTCCCCTTGCTGGTTATGGTAGCCCTTCTTCATCTACTGTGTATATTGGAACTGACCTATGCCTGTTTTCTGACGACATTACTCTTTCCTGATCCCACAAGTAAAGCTTCTTTTGTATTTTATAAACGTGAGCGTCTGCTTACTGGTCAAACATTACACCAAAAATGTGTAAATATATATATATATATATATACATACAACTTTTTTTATTTTGCAATTACTTTGTTTTATTTTGTGCAGTTAATTGTCAGAATTTTTTGCCCAAGTTTGACCGTAAAGGAAGCTACATAGCTAAATAAGTGGACAAAATAAGCTTCATCAGAATGTTTACACCACTTTCAACATTATTTTCATCAGCAGACTACAGAACACACAGTCAAGCAAACTTTGAAAGTTCTGGTCAATGTATATGTTGATTTGTTGATTTACAGTGAACTCTACAGTGAACACACTTAAATATGGCATTTTTCTGCAAATTTTAGTGAATGATTTTTATAAAATGAGCCATAAGTTTTGCACAGGCCACATTTCTCTTTACAATATCTGATTGATTTTGGCAAATAAACAGTAAAATGTGCAGAGGTGCCCTGCGATGGACTGGCGACCTGTCCAGGGTGTATCCTGCCTTCCGCCCAATGACAGCTGGGACAGGCTCCAGCACCCCACCGCGACCCAAAGGGATAAGTGGTTTAGAAGATGTATGTATGTATGTATGTGCAGAGCTGTGTTCACTGTAGAAGATTTTCACTTCTATCAACAAAATGTAATTTGACTGGGGGTGGCCAAACCTTTGCAAATGACTGTACGAACAGTTGTGTTCAAACTTCTGATTGGTACCATGATTTTTTGAAATAAAGATGACACATTGGTGCAGTTGATCATGAAGTTGCTATGGGTCAAGCTGTAGTGCGTTTAATCACTTAACATAAAGATAAATCCACAAGTAATCAGGTATGAGTCGGCTCTCGTGCTAGCTCTTGGCACTCTTGTGGCCTGACCTAATCAGAGCAAGCATACAGTCATAGTTGTGTAATACAATAATATAATTATGAGAAAATCAAACTTACACCATGGTCATGGCTACAAATATTAAACCTTCTTATCATTGTTATTTGAAACAATGTAAATCTTTTCTTACTGGGATACTATTAAATGGAGAGTGCAGATTATTCAAATAGCAAAAATTACTAAAATGCCCGTTCCTAGAAGAAAACAGATGGAAAGTCACCCACCGCTGCTTTGCGTGATGTTGACGTCGACACGGAGCTCAGGAACGCTGCTGGCAGGGAAGTTGGCCACACAGCTGTAGGTGGCCTGGTCTCGGAACTTCATGTCCACAATCTCCAGACTGCTGGTGCCAGTGGGCATGTCTGGGTCATTGCGCAGCACAATCAGACTGTCTGATGGGTAAACCGGCGCGCCATTCTTATACCAGGTGTAATTGACCTTATCCTGTGGCTGCGCGTCCACGTGGCAGGACAGCTTGAGGTCGCGACCCATCTGGATGCTCTCGCCGTCTTTGTTGGAGTCCGGTGTGATCTGGAACGTCAAGTTCTTCATCGCTGTGGAGTGAGAGAGTGAAGGAGAGAGGGAAGTGGGAGAAAGAGAAGATTACAGAGAGAATGATGAAACAGAAGAAAAGAAGAAGAAAAGATCTAGAGGAGAAGTTAGAAGTAGAGAGAAGAAAAGATTCAGTGATAGTAGATGAGAGGCAATACATTCCTACAAAGGCTGTTATACTTGTAGTCATTTTTCAGTGTACCACAAGTATATTACTGTTTTATCACTGGTATATTACTGTTTTATTACTCAACAAAATCTGTCATGACAACTCCAGAGATCCATGACTGCAAGACATCTGCCATGATATTATGGCATGGTTATGTCAGTGTTATGTAGCAGGTAAAGCAATACATTTTCACATGCATAACAATTGCTTAATGTAATGAGTTAATGTAATTTATATAGCATAATTTGTCAAAATACCTGTTTTGTTCATGTCCCTGATTTTCAAATTTTAAATTTCAATTGCAAAACTAAATTAAATCAATTGAGTCATTTGTTGTTCTATAAATGTTAGGGGTGCGCCAATATGATACTCAGTATTGGTATCGGTCTTATACTCGCCAAAATCACTGGATTGGATATCAGTAGTATAATCTGAGATGATCCATTAGCCTAATCTATCACGTAAAGGCTTAACTAAACTTTGAGCAAGATGTGTCACAACTAGGGCTGCCGAGTTATATTTAAATTCAATTCTATAGTCAAGCTGTAAAAAAACACATTTGATCGTGAGAATTAATATTTGATTGTGAAAAAGCAGCATTGCCATGGCTGTCTGCCTCGCTAGTTCTCACATGAGCCACTGCCTCTGCACTGAATGCACTGCATGATGGACAGGATCACACAACATCACTTTCATGATTTAAAATGAAATGTAGTCCATCTGAAACAAGCGAATAATTCAACAACAACCATATGGTAATGATGGCAGAGAGTTCACAACCCAACTCAGACGCAGAGAGAGTGCTTTGCATTCCGAGTGATCTAAAAAGCCCTGTTTGGAAATACTTCAGAGCAACTTAGAGGTTAGTAGACAGCAAAATTGTGGCACTTTGAGATAACGCTCTATGCAAGCTATGTAAGCTACAGTTAGCCTACCATATCAGCACTAGCAACCCGAGGGCACATCTAAAAAATATGCACCCAAATGCATACATTTCAGTTCCTCTTCAAATTCACATTCCCTCTGATAAAGCATGGGCACACACATTCACACAGCACTGAAACAATAGAAAGAAAGGGGTGAAAAAGTCATATTTAATTATCCAATCAGGAGCCAAGCGAAGTTCTACACCTTTCTTGAACCTTTTTTACTTTCCGTAGTTGTAGGGTTTGATACTCATTTCTTCTCAGTAAAAGTGTGCACTCCTGAGGACAGGATTTGTGAAGAGGAACATGAATTTGAGGGGCAACTGAATCAGATGCAACACTTTTGTTGTATTGGTTTGCCCTCCTTTTGGCATAATGCACAAAAATAGGTATGCAAATAGTGTGTTTGTCATTTTTGGCCAATTGTGGCAGCCCTAGTCACGACACAGATGAGCAGCATATGTCAGATGAACAGTAGCTCAAACGTGCAAGTGAGACGTGTCAGCGTGGTCATGTCAGCTGTGTGTAGTTAGTAATGCAACTAACTTGATATCAGCTGTAGTAGCCTTTAGCTATTACAGCTGTGAGTGCCTTAAAATGCCAGGTCTACCACACTGTGTCCCACTGTATGTTTTATACTGGAAATGCTATTATTTTTATTTTAAGTTATAAGGTATGATCTACATTGGAACTTTTTGTCATTGAGGTACAGGATACAGTGAATGAGAAGCTTTTGCATGAAGTTGCACTTTAAATTTCATTTTGAATGTTTAAATTGTGCTGACCCACTGAAGATCCTGCTACGTTCTGTGTGTAAAACACACAATAAATAAATAAAGTAAAAAGAAAGAGATGTATTTTATAACTTTACAGGTCAGGTTGTGGGATACGTATTTCTTGATTTAGGGGAGTAGAATATTTGCTCCACAGTTTGAGCACGATGTTGTTTAGATGGTAAGGTTACGCAAAGTTCATCCAGAAAAATGTATTATTAACAGCTTAGTTGTTTAAGTGAGGGAAAAAGATGGTATAGGATTGGCAGATATTCAAGGTTGTGGTATCAGTATCGGAATCAGACATGAAAAAGTGATATCGAGCCACCCCAAAATGAATGTCTGTCTCACATTTGTATGCTTGACGTGGTGAAAATGTCTTTACCTTGTCTTATAAAGACATAATCAATTCAAACTAAATTCACTGTAAATACAAATTCAGTTCACATTACTACTATTACAGACACTTAAAATGTATTTTTGTTGAGGTGTATCTTCTAAATATTTGTACAGCCAAAAGTGCCTGTAGATGCAGAAACAAACACATATAATAACACAATTACATGATTAATAAGTAATGTTACGTAACAAACTGTATTTAGATTTCATTTATATTCTGTATAGACAGGTTGAAGTACTTCTAACTTTCTCTGTTTCAATGTCAACAAATGGCAAACATATATAAGATGTGCTATGGATCCAATGTTTAAATCCACATTTCTGGCAGAATGTTTCCCTTGTTTAAACTACTTATAGGTGAGAAAAATAACAGAAAGTTATATTATGCTGTTGTTTGGTGACTTCTAAGGGATACAATATAGTTTTTACAGATTTCATCAATCAAGTGGTGCTCTTGCGTCGCTATTGCTTGAACTATATGTTTGTCTACAATTCAAACCATCTTACAATATTATTACTTTGAATACAAGTGGACACATTATTACCATAAAGAATAAAAAAAAACTAACACATTGAAATTATCTATTTACAACTATGTTTTTTCTTGTTATCTTGGCTCGAGATTTGATCACCGCTTTTGGAATAAGAGGCCTTTTACATATTGTGTCTTATGCAACGTGCCACATTTTATTTATTCATTTAATTGAATTGAATTTTTACAGTATGTTAAATTCAGCGAATAAATAGTAACATGTTCACATTTTAAATAATTTGACCGGGGTGCTTAAACTTTTGTATTAGCCTGTTATTTGATTAACTTCATTCTCAATGCTACAGAGCTTTATCAGTCAGTTTATTATCATCTTTGGGTCTGTTCAGCATTCTAGACACACTGAATTGTCTTTTTGTACCAAACTACTAACTATGTCCAGCATTTGCATATTAGAATTGTTATAGTTCATACTTCTCTTGGGAGCCAGAGTGGTTCTGTATTGTTGAGTACAATGACTCCAGGGCATCTGTACCTGAAATCTACTCAAATCGCTAAAAGCTTAGCACGGTATTTACTGCTCTGACAACATGACAAATGACCCTGCAGGTAGGGACTGAGATTTTGGCGCCATATGCTCAGAGCCATGTGTTCAAACGGACAGCCTCCTGTATTCTATGTTGCTTGTGTTTGTATGTGTGTGTGTGTGTGTGTTCCTGACATGTAGTACGCTCATTACCGGCAGCAGAGACGGATTCCGAGTCAACGTCCGCCCCACACACTCGGAGAGAGCGCACTGATGCTAATTACCTCTTTTCCACTCCGATTAATTGGAGTAAATAAAGATGATTAAAAGGGCTAAGAATAGCCACGGGGCTGTAATGACGGCTGGGCGTAATGCTAGTTTTTATAGCGTCTTTGCCAGAGCCTCAAGCGTTTGACATGATTACACAGGCAGCAGAGCTAATCAAAGTTCAACTGCTGCCTCGCCCTCATGCGCAGTCAACACACACACACACACACACACACACACACGCGCACACACCTTCCCCTTGACATGGAGAGGCGGACGTGGTGAGCTTCAGCTGGCTTGAAATTCCATCAAGTGTAATTACACTTGAGCGCTCAGGGTGCCAAGCTTAAATACAAAGATGCATAAACACATTGCTTGTCAAAAGTTTGGGGACACTTTCGAATTTTAATTTTTGGTAGCACTTCCTATAAATGCTATATGCTTAGTGCTTTATACATGGATACATAACACGTTATCATATCTGGCATAAGTTCAGAGAATTGCTCTTAAGTAGTTATGATTATCTGTTCATATATACATACAAATTATTTTTTTTTAATATTTCAAAAAATTGCTGAAGTGCATGCGAGTGCTGCTTCATGTTAGCTAAGTTCGTAACAATTGGTAACTAGTGTTGGATCTAGATGTTATACAGAAAATATACCAGAACTTTGTTATAGTGCATTATAACATTCTCCGTAGAGGATGTGTATTTATTTTCTGTCCCACCAAAACATTCTATTCCAACTAGAAAAGCAGAATTTGTGAGACAATAACATGGTGTGCACATGCACATCGTGGCTGCATCACAGTTCAATTTGCACTACATCTTCACACATGGACATTAGATCCTGAGGGCTGAAAGGCTCAGGCCTTCATCCAGTCACTATAACTACATTTCCATAGACTTTCTGCACAAATTAAAAGCCATTAAACAAAACTGCATTAAAATGTTTGCTATTTTTGCTGCCCAGCAGCTCATTTCTGTCACAACCCCCCATCTCAGCATCAGCACATTAAAACTCTCTCGCACATGCATCCTGTCTCACACCTTTCACCACAGCAAGTGCCCACATTTTTCTGCCACAGAGAGCTATTTGAGGACTTTTAATTTAGAAAGTCTGTAGCCTTTTCTGGACATCATAAAATGGCTGCTCAAACTTTAGTAAATCAAGCAGGACGTGCAATCAGTGACGATATCTCCACCCATTTCTTTGCATAGTCCTCAGCTTTGCGCAGACCTCCCTCAAACACATATGCATAAGAAAAGGAAAAGAATTTAGCATTTTTATAAAGCGCATGGCCCACAACCTGCGCTTGTGCACTAGGTTTGAAATAACATGTGAGCAGTCCAATTTGCAGCTGAAAGTGTGATAAATCGTCACCTGTATGCACTGGTATATTGCATAATGCTGGTAGTAATGTTTGCATGTGCTGTATATTTTATATAGGTATTATGTATGTAGCTAGATGTGCATTTTATTATTGTGTATGATGAGTTATTTCTCATATGTTTATGATAAGTGTTAATCCTGTTTTTTTATCTAAGTTATCTAACTCTGGCTCCTTTACAGCTCTGTTGATACTGTTTATTAATGGGCACTGTCCCTAATAAATATTAATTAATTGGCAAAATTAACTAAAAAAAAAAAAGTGGTGAAAAAACTTAGAACAGTGGTGCCCAAAAACATCTGATCCAGGGACTGAAGGCCTTCAAAAATAACTGAACATAAGAACTGAATATGTTGGATCTGAACTCTCCAAAATGAACTCCAGGACCAGGATTGGGCAACCCGGCCCTCAACTTCATGTTTATCAAAATATCTTTCTTGATATGAAGATTAGGTTTTGTCTTCTTTTTCAAACTATAGTTAAAAACACGTCAAAACTCTTTTAGCCCAAAGATGTTTCAACACCTGAAAAGTCTGAGTGCTGAGGAGAGCTGATCAGCACAACAAAGGGATGAATTGCATAGAGGTTGACATAATTCCCAACATAACATTGTCACAAATATTACTGTGTGATATTGTAACTTCAAAGCATACTAATCCTTGATTAGTGATTAATATGTTAAATTAATACTAAAAAGAAACCGCCATTTGCAAACATGCACTGTTCAAAAATATGCACTTAACGATTTCAATGATATAGAACCAATTTTGTTGCATGTACGAAGTGATTCTACTATGATGCTACTAGCCTACATATGTTTAAACTAATTTGTAAGATCTTCTTCTTGTAAATCACCTAAAGAAAAGCCTTTTTAAAGCTGTATTTGAACGAGAAGGCTATAATCTCAGATTTTATCATAGAAACATACAGAGCGCAGCTGGGCTTCAGTCAGCACTACTGCAGAGGCATATCTGCTCTTACTTCTAACTATGAGGTTGACGTTCCTCCTGGCAGGGTTGCCCACATTGTTGACAGCGGTGCAGTTGTAGAATCCCGACTCGGCCGACGTGACTGACCGCAGGGTGAGTGACCCGCCACGGACCACAGAACGACGCGGCAGGGGGCCAGGATAACGGGACCAGGTCACTGTGGGCGTCGGGAAGCCCGCTGTCACCTCACAGGTCAGTGTTACGTCCTGCCCGGGATCCACCACGTACGTGTCATTCACGGATATCTTCAGGGCCGGAGGAGCTGGTGGGGTGGACAGAGAGGAATAAAATGAAAGAGCAGCTCAGTCTATATTCTATCATTCAAAAGACGTTCAAACATTTGAAATCACAGTTCAAAAGATCTTCACAGGTTTCAGATCATTTGTAAGGAGCTGGAAAATAATGAAGGATGAATAGAGCTGGAGATGGAGGCAGCTTGACTGAAATATAAAAAAAAATACTTTTTGATGTCTAGTTTACAATAGTTAAATCTACATTTCTACATTTATTTTTGTATACAAAGTAACAGAAACGCTGAATATAACAAGTGATTCCAAATACTGTACTGCATGTTGAAGTGCTAATGTTCTCAGCTGAACTGTGAGGTTGTAACAGGTAACAGTGTCCAAAGTGTAAGCAGGTGATAGCAGGTGAGAGGCGCTGGGAGAGTCTGAAGAGTAAGTACACGAATGAGCATTAACTCTTCTTTAATTTAGTGACGGGGGTGGGGGGGCAGTTGTATTGAGTGATCACTCTGCTAGCACACTCCAATTCAATATACCTTTAAGCCCTGGGATTTAGCGCTTCACAGAGCTGAGCTAATGCCATATCCTCATTCAGAGCAGAAAAAGGGGGGTACATGTTTAAGACTTTTTCCCCCCTAAAATGATGAAATGAAGCGACTTCTGGTTGCCACTGGGGTCAACTCTTGAAAAATGGATCAACAAGGTTTAATTACATCCTTAAAGTCAAAATGATGGTAGTCCATCAAAACTATCACCATCAAATAATTAGAGTTTTCATCTTTGAGAGAGAGGATAAAATCAAGCTCCACTCTTACTTCAGATCTGAATCCACAGGTATTTCTGTTCATCCTTTCCTCTGTGGGAAGACAACTTAACACTATGGGTCTGAAAGGATGACTAGCCATCAAAAAAGAACAAAGAAGCTGCTGGTGTTCTCAGCACAATGGACTGACCACCCCAGACTCCACACGTCATCACTGAATGTGTTTGGTAGGATTACTTGGACTGTGAGAAGCAGAAAATGCAAAATTTCTATAGTGTAAATGAAACATGATATTTTTGGTTAGTATTAATATTAATACATAAAACAATATTAATGTTAACACATGGTGATAAAAGTCACTACACAGTTTTCTTTGGGTTCTTTGGAGCAATGCCATAAAAGAACCAATTTTGTTTTCCTAGAGAACCTTTCAATGGACGGTCCTTTAAACATCCACTTTGGTATAAGACGTGTGTCAGTGTGACGAGCCTTTAATGAATCTTTCAAATACAGTATTTTTTTTTCTTTCCTTGAACTGAAGGTTCAAGCCAGGATCGAATTATGAACTTTTATTTTTAAGTGAAGAAGCAAACTTACACTGATGATATGCTTTGAAAAACAACAGAATGCATTACCATGGCAAACACTGCTATATGACTGTATGTGTTCAATCTATAAAAAGTTACATTGCAATATAGTCAGTTACATTTAAATACAGGCAGCCTGTTTGGTATAAACACTAAGATGGTACCACATACAGTGAATGTAATGTAGCAAGAAAATGCACTATATATATATTCAGTATATTCTTTCCCTTGCAGGAAATAATTAAGTCCAGTACAAATGACACAGGCAGTTACCAAAGATAGAATATGCTTTTGAAAGTGATCTTATGCAGAGTGTTCGGTTCAGTAGGAAATGGATCCAGATGAGGCTCTATTTATCTGAAGAAACATTTAATGCTCCTGTAAGAGTTTTATGTTGGTTTCTTAATAGAAAGAATACATGAGATGAGTGAAAGGCTCGTTTTTATCACATTGTCATCAAAAGTGGATTTTGACCAAGTAGGTAAGGTCATTTTAGAATTTATCATGTGGTGGTGATGATGTGGCATTGGCTAACCTGCTGAAGATCTATACTGACATAATACTGACTCAACATTCTCAGAAGACACAGTTAAAGAACCGTTTCTTCACAGTCAGATGGTCATTTGTTGAACAGAGATAAAACCCAAACCCAGCCTACATGTTCCTTTAATAGAGAATCTTCATTTAATCTCCATCTCCACTGCTGTGTAGTCCAGAACCTACCTTAATCCCAGGCTGGGAAACCGTGCCATTATGAATTAAACTTAGTCACTAGCACTATAACAAAGAACAACTGAAATGAGAAAAGGAGTGGGGTTTCAATCAAATGTTTTCTGAGTCGCTAAGTAAATATTATTTTTATTTTTATCTCAACATTTATAGTTCAGTTTATCTTGTGAACAACATTGTAAAAACTTTATGCATGCAGTTCAATCTCTAAATGTCATCATCATGTGTACTTTGTGATTAACTGATTTTGTCTAAAAAAAGCTGCTGGTGATTAGAACTCTAGTATAATTAATTAAATTAAATTAAAGTGAAAAACTAAAATGTCACAAACAATTACAGTACTGTGTATAAGTTTTAGGCATATGAGAAAATTAGATTTAAAAAGCTCTTTATTTGGGCAGTAAGTGTTTACTCGCTCAGAAAAAACACTATTATTGGAATAAATGCAAATAACAAGTTCGTTAAACTATCCTCGAGGAAGCCCTGTATTATTTGTAATTATCATCCAATACCTGGTTTGGCTACTCAGTACTTCATTATGTTAAATCAAGCATGCTGTTGATGGAAGTAACAAATCTATGCAACATCTTGAGGCATCCAGGAGAAACCTGGAACCAAACTTTTTTCAAAATAAGAAATTCTTGTTACTTTTACTGTATTCATGTTTATTTACATTTGTTCTGATGATATATGGTGTTTTACAAATAAAATAAAATAAAATTCCTTTTTTTCCAAGATAAATGGTTTTAAACAATGTGCTCAGGTGCCTAAGTCTTCTGCACTGTACTGTATGTGAATTAGAGTTTCTATCAGCTCTGTACAAGAGAATAAAACTCCCTACATCATGTCCAAAAAATATTTTTAAGAAATATAGAGCGAGTCTACAGACAAATTCTTAAAGCTACGCTATGTAAGATTTGGGGATTTGGAGACCTCTGTGGTGGAAATGTGTAATTGCATGTAATGTGCAGAAGAACATTTTGTAATGCTTCAGAGCCCTTCCCCTAGGGGATGAATCTGATGATTGCAAGCGCACTGAGGAGTATTCAAAGAGAACTCAGTCAAAACGTGGTAAAGGCCATGTCTTCCAAGGATGTGTGTGAATTATCATTATCAACGTATCTTCATCAATATAATGATTTTTTTTATTCTTACATAGTGCTGCTTGAATATTGAACAGGTTCTTATTACTGATTTGGTTATTTTTTGCTATTTTTACATCATAAGTGTGCAGAGACAGAATGCACTGGCTCAGGAAATGTCCATTAATCAGTGGCATGGATCTTATGTCTGTTTGCTGTCTAATCTCACTGTAATTTTTCTTTTAATTTCGTTGTCATTCCACTGGTACATGCTGCCTTCTTCCATGTTTCATAGCATCTGCTGGCCAAAAATTGAAAAATGTGATTGGTCATATGGCTTTATTCTATTTGCATTTACATTGTTTACGCAGCAAATGTGCTTCCACCATTATTTATCACAATACTTTTGTATTGGTTCAAGCAAACTTTGGCAATTTATTCAGTGTTTGCAATTTCCATCAAGCCTCTTTTATTCAATACATCAAAATATGCTATGTTGGTATGAGGACACCTGGCTGGTATTGAGGAGCTGCAACTCTGACAGTGTCACCACTTCATGTGTTATTCTAACCATCCGCAATACAACTGCTTAAGACCTGATTTGGGGGCTTGCCGTAAGAGGCTACAGTACTTTCACAACTTTAATCATGGGACTTACAGAGTCACAAGGCACACAATAAATTAGATTAGAATCCTACACTCTTAAAAATGATAGTTCTCTAGGTTCTCTAGCAAAGACACAAACACTCAAAGAACCATCTGCATGCTTAAATGGTTCTTTGCATGCTGAAAGGGTTCTTCCACTGTTATAAGCTTGACATCTTAACATTAGCATATCCATTTTTGGTGCTATATAGAATCATTTTAAAAAAGGTTCTATACAGAACCATACCTAACACTTTGCCATGCAAAGAACCATTAATACATGCAAATGTTTCTTTGAGTGTTCATGGTTTTATACAGAACCACCATCTTTACTAAAGAACCCTTGAAGAACCGTCTTTGTAAGAGTGTATAAAAACCAAAGAAGTATGGATCCAGTTTCTCATATGTTATAAAACTGAGAGAGTAAGTACTGATGAGAGTAAACACTCTGGTCTGGTGAGATGGAACAACAGTCTGGCAGAAAGTTTCTCGCTGCCTCTGGCCTGCAGCTAGGAAAAAAATTGCTCCCCTCACCTTTAGTTGGAACACTGAATTTCATAAACGCCCCGGTGCCACAAAGCAGAGCTACCTAAAAATCTCAGCGAGAACAGCGAGAGACGACGTGGAGACTGTTATGAAGAATCTCACCTCAATGAGCAGGGGACAAAGGGACAGAGAGAGAAAGAGAGTGAGAGAAAATAGAGGAAAGAGGCTGGGCCTTTGCCAGGAACAGACAAAAAGGACAAGTCCAGAGGGACATTAATCTTCTGAGTCTGGCTTGGAGCTCAATTCACATAGGCCTGAAGCCCCATCAGCACAATATCAAACACCTTAACCACACAGAAGTGCAGAAACACCACACGCCCAGCCACACTGTGGAAATGAAAGGGTCAGGGAGGCGGAAAGGTGTTTTAAGCTGGGGGTCATGAAATTATAAGCAGCATACACATGACATGGATGGTGATATCACGCTAAATTCTTGGCCTTTTTTTTTCTATTTAATTTTTTTTTATATACTTTCCATCAAACATAATGTGTCATACTGAACAATAATGAGGTGAGAGACGACAATATATGGATATAATTGACACATTAGACCGCTGATGCACATCCTCACTCTGCGCTCTCACTCTAGACGTACATCAAGCAAATTCACTGAGTGCCGATCAATCAGATTGTTGATATGTAGCTCAGTAATTGATTGTGTCGCC